TTTATTTAAGAGAGACACATAGAGAGAGAGGCAAAGACATAGGCAGAGAGAGAAACAGGCACCCTGCGAGGAGCCTGATGCGGAGCTTGATCCCAAAACCCTGGGATCACGACCTGAGTCAAAGGCAAACGCTCAACCACTGAGCCACTCAGGTGTCCCTAGATCTCATTTTTAACGTAAGTACTTTATGGGATGCTCAGCGGTTTAGCGCCTGCCTTTGGCCCAGGGTGTGATCCTGGAGTCTTGGGATCATGTCCCACATCCGACTCCATGCATGGAGCCTGCTTCTCCCTCTGCCTATGTCTCTGCCTCTCGGTCTCTGTCTCTCATGAATAAATAAATAAAATCTTTAAAAAATAAAATAAGTACTTTAAAAGCATATAAAATGGGAAAAATACTAGACTTGGAGTCAGACACAAATATATGTAAGAGTGCAGTTTATTAACCAGGGGGTCTTACACAAGTCATATAATCTCTTAGAGCCTCTGGCTACCCATACATAAAATAGTGAATGGATGATACCTACTCAGCAGGATGGATTTATGGCTTCTGTGAGATAAGATGCATGAGAGGGCCTACCATTATAATTAGCAGCCAGTAGGAACTCTGTTTTTTCTTTTATTATCATTGCTAATGATCAAGCTCTTTAGTTTCAATTTCTACTTCTAAAATATATGTGCTTTTCCGCCCCCCTCTTCTCTACTCATTTTTAAAAGCCGTGGGCCTAGCAAGAGCACTGTAGCTGTTTGTAACAGAAACAGATGGATGACTAGAAGAGCCAGAAGAAAAATAGAGAGGCTTCATCACAGAGACATAACAGAGGACTCGGCTGATTGACTGTAATTTAGGACATCCATCATTATGGGTCCAAGGACAAACACTGTGAATTCTAAGCCTGACTCAGACTCTGATTCTTTCTAAAGTGTTGAATAACTCATTTAATATCTGACCAAGCTTCACTACAATGCTCGGCATAACGGGTTGTCTCAGCCAATATCATTTATTATATACCATTGTTACACATTAATGCAAAAAATAATTGAGTTCCTACAGAGAAAGGGACTTAAATTAACTCGGCCTGTGATACATTTAGGAAGTCTATAAATTCCCAAGAATAGTACACACAGGTTGGTAGATATATGTGCATGACAATATTTTATGGGGAGAGAATCCATAGCTTTTATTAGATTCTCAATGAAGTCTGTGACCAAAAAGAAGTTAAGAACAGCTACTACATACTAACAGACATTATTTGTTACAGAGAGACCATTTTCACAATTATGTTTTTCCTGGAATCCTACAACATTCGGCCTGACGAAAGCAAGATTGGAGTCGTGTATTGTTTTTGTGAACTAGACTATCTTGTAATGTGGTTTTTACTACTTTGATTTCTCAACAGAATTCAAACACATTCCCAGGTCCATTTTAATTGCTGATGAAACATGACTGGGTTTCTAACACTCTTCTCCTAACCATGAACTTTCCTCATCATCCCCTCATATTTCAAAAAAACAAAATATCAACTGGTCATCTCAAACAAAGAGTTCCTTCCAAGGCTTGGAGTTCTATTACACACAATGGCCAGCTAGCCCAGCAACCTCAATGCATGACTTATAAATAAAACCTGCTCTCTACTAGAGTGGACCCATAGGCAGATGTGAAGCAGAGAGCTGTTTTGGGCATGGCCTACCATTGGACATAGCTGAGTGACAGAGGATGCACCATAGTAGTGTTGGGGAGAAGAGTTAGCTGGTGATTGATGACTAAGGGTATTTGAAGCAAAGAAGCTGAAGTCACTATCTCCAGGGCTAAAATAAAAATTAGTAATTCAGAGATAGAAATGGTACATTCTTTCCTCTGGCCTTCTAATTGTGTGAATGACCCTATTCTATCAGTGGGGTGCCCTGAAAGGCTTTGAGTGAAGTTCCCACCCTCCCCCATCTCCCTACCTCCACCAGGGGACATCCTGTCACAAAGATGCCTAATCAATCTCTTCAGTTTCTTCAGAGGTCAGGCCATTTCAAAAAGCCTTCTTGACGACAAACATTTTTCTATAATAATGATAGCAACAGAACGGAGCAGACCATAAAGAGCAGATATTCCCAGGAGTGCTGTGAGAGGAGACTAGGGGGGCTTGAGGAGATCACTGGATCTCACTTGTGAGCTAGTTTAGCAAGTGCATGGTCAGGGCCCTGTGTGCACTGCTCACTCTCTGCTCAGCCACCCAGCAGACATGCATAAATGGGTAGGGGGTCAGGGACATGTGCCTTGGGTTTTGACAAGCCTGAATGTGACCCTTGACCCATTGTTTATTATCTGTGCTATGTTAGAAACTTGTGGCACTTCTCTGAGAAGTGTTCCTCATCTGCAAAGCAAGGATGACTATAGCCACATCACAGTGTGTAGCAGTGAGTTTTAATGAGATAATGCGTAAAAATTACATGATGCCGTTTAATAAATGCTAGCTAGTTTTATTCCATAGAATTAAATTTTCTAAAAAAAAGAATATAATATTTTTACATATAATATATGTAAATATAATATATATTACAGTTTAGAAATATAAAAAATTAGGTTTTGATGTATTATGTTAATACATATTATGGATATACATTAGTATAGATTTCATGTCTTTAATATATATGTGATATACATTCTTAAATATATTATGCTCATATTGCTTGTGTTTCCTATGCAAAGACCATCAAACGTAATTTAATCTATTTTTGATTGTGAAAGTAACATTTTCCTAACTACCTAAGACAACTTTAAAAGTGCTTTTTAGGGGCACCTGGGTGGCTCAGTTGGTTAAGCATCTGCCTTTGGCTTAGGGATCAGCTCAGGTCATGATCCCAGGGTCCTGGGATAGAACACGGGGTCAGACTCCCTGCTCAGTGGGGAGCCTGCTTTTCCCTCTGCCTGCCACTCCCCCTGCTTGTGTTCTCTCTCTCTGTCAAATAAATAAATAAAACCATAAAAAAATAAAAATGTTTTTTATATGTATCATTGTTTAGAATTCCAACTAATGCCCTATGCTCTAATTCAACCAAGCAAGAAAGCAACAGGCACTGTTGTTATGTATTGGGCTGGTAGCCCCAAGATAAAAGCTCTTTCATCATCTAAAGAGTATGATGGATCCTTCTCTCTCTGGCAGCTGCCATAATGACCAATGTTTAACTTTGCCGCTTTGACTCATTCCATTTAGCTGCTGCCCATCTGGTCTGGAAAAGGAGATCACTAATGTTGTTATTTTTGTCCTTAAAACAAGAGGGAGTAGGTACTAAGGAAGAATCTGAGAGTCCTTTCTGTGTTGCGTACACAAGTGTTAAATACTTATTACATACATGTAAGCTCATTCATGTTTACATACTTACATACCCAAGTGTGACAACTTCTTTCACCTTTCCTTCTACATATTTATATACTTTGCTGTGTTTTTTTGTTTTTCTGGGGGGGGGGTGTTGGTCTTTTTTTTTTTTTTTTTTGGATTTTGGCTGTATTTATGATACATGCTCTTAGATAAGTAAAGCTTTCCAAGCATTTAGTGGAGTTTCTTTTCCCAGTGATGGAAAAAAGTCTTAACTAAAAAACTCCTTGTTTGGTGGCTTATATCAAATAATAATGGAGAAGGTGATTTTTACCACTTGAGTCTCTGCTTGGCTTGAAAGCTTTTTCTCAATTAGTGAATGTTCAGTGACCATCTGCTGTGTACAGGGCACTGAATTAGGTTCACCGATTGGGGCACAAAATGAATGACATGTGTGGGTCCTATTCTAAAGCAGCTTAAAAAATAAAATAAAATAAAATAAAAATAAAGCAGCTTAAAATCTAAAAGAACAAAGATAACATAAACTGGAGCAGGCAAAAAATGAGGCAACAAAAGCTATTAAGTTCTATAAGGAAATCTTAAGTGAAGTTCGGAAGAACCCAAGCAGAAAAGAAAAACACTTCTAAAGGAACACTTCCTGCAGATATAGTCAGGCATTCCGGAGGGTGGGTGAGTTTCTAGTTTGAAGAGAAGGTTGTTCAAAGAGATAGTCCTCCAAACAGAAGCTAACAGATAGGTCATGAATGTGCTTGTTTAGGGAATGAGGAGAATTTTCCTTTGGTTGCAGAGCAGGGTGTTCAAAGAGTAATGGTGTAGATAAAACAGAACAGGTCCTAAATGCCACACTAAGTAATGAGTTCTACCTTCTGGTAACTTCAGAGCAAATTGAATCCCACTGAAATCACTGAGGTAGGGTGCACTTAAACCTAGTGGCAGAGATGAAGAAGGCATGTACATGGGTTTAGGTGGCCATGAAACAAAACAAAACAAAACTAGAGCTAGCCTTGGTTTTCAAGGGAGTTTCAAAGGAGAAATATCTGGGGCAGCCCAACTAGCATGCTGGAAAATTTTTGAATCAAGAATACAATTTCTCTTGTAAATGTGACTATTCCAGGAAGAACAAAACACACTTGTGGAGAGTACCACATAATAGCTTAATTCATATTCGGCATTTGGATCTTGGCGTTTCTACAGACACTGTCCTTAATGACTTTTTTTCTGTTTTGTTTTGTTTTCTATTATTAAAGTCACCTTTTACTCCCCTTCTGTCTTTGAGGTTATAGTCTCATAAATGGAAAAGTCTTTTTAGAGTACTTAACAGAAACCTTAATCAAAATGCAAAGCCAAATTCCAGCTAAAAAGGTATTAGTGCCACTGGAAATGTGATTCAGATTGCCAGGGCAATGAGATTTAGCCAAATAGGTATTTACAACACTACTCTCGACATTTAGAAAGTAATGAGATATATTTAACATAGAAGGAGAAAGTAAAAGTATACTCAAACCTGAAACTACATGGTATTTTAGAGTACTAGAGAAAATAGGTATATAGCTTATGTGCTCTCTCTCTATAGATAGATAGATGATAGATATACACACACATACAAACACATATACATATTTATATTTTATATTAATACATATTTATCATACACACGCATGTATATGCTCACCCATATTGAGCAGATCAACAGGTAAAGTATGTTGGACTGAAGTAAAGCATGAAGGTTGTAATCCAGCACCCTCTGGAATTCTCTGTGTGGCTGTGGGCCTACTGCTTTAATCTCTCAGGGCTTTAGTTTTGCCAGTCTAGTACCAAACCAGATGTTGACCTCCACCCTGCTATTCTGTGACTCAATTACCTGTCACGTGTGGTGTGTTATTTCCTCTTTCTTGTCCTTTAACAGAAGCTGATTAAAACCCCCTTCCAAGAACAAAATCTTTTGCCTTAAATTATGATTGGGGGGATGGTTAAAAACCTCAAAACCTTCTTCAACATTACCCTTAGGGGGATAAAGGTAATTCAATAAACCATAGCATAGATTTTTTATTAACCCAAACATTTTAAGAATTTATCCTGGGATCAGTTTTATATTCAGACTCAATTTTTAGATAATAATGATTGGGTCAAGCCATTGATTTTGTTAAGCACATTATATGCATGATTTATTTAGTTTTCATAGCAATCCTTTGGATGAGAATACTGAGGCTAAGAGAGGTATATATTTATTCAAATTAACACAAGTAGCAAGTCGAAGAACCAGTTAATTATGTGGAACTAGAGCTCATGGCTGCAGAGAAGTGATAGTGTCTTCCATCCAAGCAGGGATTGAAAGAGACAGCCAGCTGACTTCCAAAGAGCTGAGTTCCCTTACCACAGTGCAAAGTGTTGCTAGGGACTGGATTGGCAGGCAGGAATTTTGTTTTTCAGCATCTCTTACATCTAGGTGAGACCATTGGCTATATAAGCCATACTCTTTAGTTAATGGTAGAGAACACTTTACTGGCTGAGGTGGTGTCCCCCCCCCCCCCAGGAAGTTTTTAATAGTGATTGTATGCTGAACTGAGTATTTTGAAGAAACTGAGTTAAAGAAAATATTACTAATTTCCATCCTTCATTTTTTAACACTCTTTTAGAAAATTAAAATCATGTCCGTGGCTTGTGTCAGATTTCTACTGGGTGGTGCTGCTCTAAACTAGGAGTTAGTCAATCATGCTTCTCAGGCCAAATCCTGCCCACTGCCTGCTTCCGGACGGCCAGTGGACTAAGCAGTTTTTACATGTTTTAGTGACTCAAAATGAATCAAAAAAATAAGGTTTTGTGACACATGAAAATTGTACAAATTTGAATTTCAGTGTCCGTAACAGAGTTTTACGGGAAAAGAGCCATAACCATTTCTGGATTGCCTTTCTTATGCTTTCTTCCTCTTCCAAGGCAATCTTAGAGGCCATGTCTTAAAGGTGAGAACCTTATGAGATGGAAGGAGCCTAGGCGAAATGGGTTGGATCTATATAAGAACTAGAGCCGGTGTACCTGGGTAGCTCAGTGGTTGAGCTTTTGCCTTTGACTTAGGTCATGGTCCTGTAGTCCCAGGATCGAGTTCCCCATCAGGTTTCCGCAGGAAGCCTACCTCTCCCTCTGCCTATGTCTCTGTCTCTGTGTGTGTGTGTCTCTCATGAATAAATAAATAAAGTCTTTTAAAAAAAAAAGAAATAGAAAAGAAAAAGAGCTAACAGCATTCCCTGATGGATTGGCTGTAGAAAGGAAAGGTAAGGAGGAGTCAAGGATGCTTCTTGGATTTCTAGATGAAGCATCTTGGGGAATGATGGTACCACTGGAGAGAAGGGAGGAACTGGCTTGGGAGGAAGTTCTGCTTTCAATTATTCATGCTTCATGTGAACATGTGTCATTATCTTGTTAGATTGCTGAGAAGTAGACAAGATTTTATAGAATCTTCAAGTTAACATATCCAACAGAAGAAGCCAGAAAATGTACCAAATGGTTTGTGAGGAGAAATGGATTTTCCTTCCCCTTCTGTGTTAACAAGGAAAGAGAGAGACCTTACTATTTTCACTGGATTGAATACTTTACTTTTAGATGGTATACACTACCACAGTTTACTGTCTTTCAACTCTCAATTAAAATAATAATAATCACACTAATAAGTAATGATATTACTTTCTGCTTAGGTAGCATTTAATTTACATATTTGAATTATTTTCACATTTATTACAACATCATGGGAAACAGGTATTTTACAATTCAGGAAACTGGTTAGTGGTAAATCTAAAATTTGATTTTGAAGCTGATTGCAAATGTGACAAAACTGTGAGGGGTTTGAGTTCAGGAGTTATGGAGATCTAAACAGAAGGCTCTTAATTAGTTTGAATCTCAATTAGGATTATCAAAAGTGATATATTTTCATACTGTCACAAACGGTAAACTCTTAAGAGGTAAAAAGTGTAAGATTTCAGCTGTTCTGGCAAATTACTTTGGTTTGAATTTCTATACCAAAACCATACTCAAATATTAGTTTTCAGGGCACCTGGGTGGCTCAGTTCATGAACCCAGACTCCTGGAATCGAGCCCTCCATTGAGCTCTTTGCTCAGCTGGGACCCTGCTTCTCCCTCTCCCTCGTGGGCTTTCTCTCTCTCTCTCTCTCTCTCTCTCTCTCTCTCTCTCTGTCAAATAAATAAATAAATAAATAAATAAATAAATAACATCTTTTAAAAATATATTAGTTTTCAATAACCACTATAGCATAATACTTTTAACACCAAAGAATACTCAATGTAATTGAGTAATTTTGATGATCTAGAAAACAGTCATTTCATTTATTTAGCATGTCATAGTGACATTAAATTAGATAATAGATGATGGAACAATCTGGGACTAGATAATAGATGATGTTCTTTTCTGCTCAAAGGCTTTTCATGAGTGCCCCTTGCCCTTAAAATCTAAAATCCTTAACTTTCAAAAACTTGCATGATCTGGCCCCTGACTTCCTCATCTTATGTCACTCTTCACCTCAAATACCCACACAATTATGCATATATGTCACACTAATGAACAGATAAGAAAGAGCTAAAATGGGTAACAGCTACTTAACTAAAGGTGGGTGTTTTAGGGTTTTAATAACTGATCTGTGATCTTACATAATTCAAGGGTTCTATTAGATACTGTATCCCTAGCCTAGAAGAGTTCCTGGCACGTGATAGATGTTTGACAGGTTCCTATTCTGTCAACCACTGAATGAGAAGATGAGGAGATCTTCTGACAGTGATCACAAATACTCTGGAGCTTGCATGACGCTAGGCACTGAATAAAAGACTAAAGTTATATCCTTGGTCAATACTGGGGTATTAGTGAAGAGAATACTGACCAATATGGAAAAATATGGAAAATATGGAAGCCATTCTGAGCTTGCTAGGTAAGTATGAAGACCTAGAGCCAGAGACTCGTTAGAGTAACAAATATCAATATAAACGTTTGGAGTATAAGACTTGTATATAAAGGAAGGGAATAATAATATGTCCATTTAGCTATGCTGAGGGGATTGCTTGATAAATCTGAAAGCCTACCAGGGATTAATTTCTCAAGAGGGTTAACTTGATATTTTCTGCCTCCTAATGAGAATAGGCAAAAGGGAACCAGGTTTTCATTGCACCTTAATAGATTCATGTTATCCCACAGGAATAATTTCATGACAATGAACTTTGTAATCTATTGAGATTTATAGCCAAAGAATGGATGTGTGTGAGGATGAAAGAATGGATGGATGGAGGACAGGTGAATAAATACATGGATAATCATTATCATTATAAATTTAGTAAATGGGGTCAATCCACATGCATCCTAGATGCAGGCCTCTAAGAGCTCTCAAAAAAACTTAGGGCTAAATTCTGTATTTAGCTCCCTTTTGTACCTTTTTTTGTACTTGTTTATTCAATAACTGATCTTTTTTGACGATATCTCTATATTTACATATTTTTAACTTTTTAAACTATTACTATTCCATTATGGAAGTAGACTTCATGGATTCTTACTAAGTAAAGTTGGCTAAGAGCCTATGATGTGTTGAATTCATCTGTGCCATATAAATCTCCTTTCTCCTTGCCCATCTCTGTGCCTCCACCTTGTAGGTTAGAATTAAACCACAAGAATTCTAGTAGGCTGTGTTCCAGTTTTCCTTTTTAATTCACCTTTGAAGAATTTAAGAATTTAATTCAGAGCACTAAATGGTACATTTAGTTGTTATGTAGTAACAACTTAAAGGTTTTACGAAAGTACTTGTTCCTTCCTCTCTGGATGAAATATAAAAAGAAAAAAAGGATATGAAAAGGATTTCTGTTATTGTCCAGTTTTCTTTTCTTAAAATTATTTTCTTGTTGAAAATGGAGGTTTGGGAAATGATATTTGGTGAATTATGACTCAATTTAATTTTTCTGTTTATTCCTGAAAACCAGAGTCCATCTAAACAGGATCATTAACTTCAATTTAGTCTACATGGCAATGTAAGGCAGGGGAGGGATTGGAGACGGAGGGATGAGAAGAGAATCCGTGAATGTGAGGAAGGAGAGGAAGAGTGAATAAGAGGGGAACCATTTTACAGAACAAGGTTCTTAAGGAACAGGTCAAATTAATTTCACTAGTGTTTGCAGTATTATTTTTCCAGTAGAATGTGTGTTTCTCCTCCTCAGGGTGGGGGCAAGAAACTTCAAATTTGATATACCACTAATCCAAGTAGAAGTAACATTGGCTTCTTTTCAAATCACACTGAGAAGACCAGCTGATTAAGTTTGTAATAGACTTGCATTTAGCAAAGTCTTCATCAATGCTGTATTTTTCTGCTATAGTAGATGATTGTGCTTCTTTAAAAGGCTGAATCTCTTAATAACCACTTACTTTTTGTGATAGATATTAGTAAATTTACATTTCTTGAGACCAAGTTCAGTTTTGTTATTAAAAATGTAACCAGAGGTGCCTGGGTGGCTCAATTGGTTAAGGGCATCTGACCCTTGATTTCCACTCAGGCCATCATCTCAGGATCCTGGGATTGAGCCCTGCGAAGTTGGGCTTCGCACGCTTATTGGGGAGCCTGCTTGAGGATTCTTTCCCTCTTCCCCTGCCCCTATCCTTAGTGTTGCAGATGAACTATCAATAAATAAATAAATAAATAAATAAATAAATAAATAAATAAATAAATCTTTTTAAGTAACCAAAGAAAGCTCCAGATTTTGAAAATTTGATTATTTTTTATTTCTATGTATTTTTATTTCTA